TCAAATATAATTTAAAATAAAATAATTCCTTAAAAATATAATCAAGTAATCATACTTAATTTACTTTTTGACTTCTTTAAGGCGTATGTCAATGATAAAGAAAAAGTGTAAGTCTCATTGATGAAAATAAGGCCCAAGCCTTGAGGCATTCTTTGTATGCGCGCCTTGTGAGGCGGACATTAAGGTGTGCGCCTCAATCACCTTTTTATAAGTGTAGTGGATAGAGAATTAAGAGAAAATTTTTCATGTTAATAAAGTTAATAATATAATTAATATTAATATAATAATTATTGACAAGACAATTTTGAACATGGACAATACCAGTAAGATTAACATATGGTATTGGGAAGAGCAAGATGAACTAATTCAATATATATCTGATGAAAAAAATGATAAATATTGGAGGTGATTGAAATTAAGATATATGTTCTAATAGGATATGCCATAAGAGAAGAATGAACTAATATACCTACTAAAAATCAATAGTGATTGGAAAGGATTTAAATTTTTATAGGTATTAATAAGATTGGCCATAAAAATTTTCATGGTGGTTCAAGGAATATTAGAACAAATGCAATGGTAGAAATAACAATTTTTCATGGTGCCGTGTAATCTTGCAATAGAGAACACATTTGAAAAAAAAAAGAAAGCAACCGAGTATTTATATAACAGAAATACTAAAAAAATCATCTTACAAAGATTATAAAGTGATTATGGATAAAACCTAACCACAAAATATAGGTAATAGTTAAGTATAAAATTATAAAAAAAAAGTTATTTGGTTTACTAAAAATAGAATGCAGTGTAAAAGCAATATATAGTAATTGGAATATTTTGGAGTTGTTTGTATTAGTATAAAATAATACAAGACTTTACATTTTATTATTTAATTCGAGCAAAATGAAACAATATAAAAATATACCAGTGATAAATGATGACGGCGACTAGTGGTGGCGGACTGTATACATTGAAAGGTGGTGACAAGTGGACTGAGACACCAATGGCTATGACGATAACAAGCAGTAGTGGTGGTGGTTAGTTGTGGAAGTGGGCGAATAGAGATAGAAGGCCAATGAACTACAGCGGCTGCTAGCAGCTACCAGTGGTGAGCGGTGGCAACCAACAAGATAGCATGCGAGAGTGGCCAAGCAACTTGCTACTACAATGGCAGGCAACGGGAGACGCCGATGGGAGATGTCAAAGGGTGATTGGTGAGAAATACTTGAAACAAAATAGGGTATTTGGAATTACCCTAAATCCAATAAATTACAAATGCATTGTAATTTTATACTATTTCTATTTATTCCGACTACTCCAGAATTTTAAAAACCTATTTACAAAAATACAATGTACTTATTTTACAGCGAACCAAATAGCCCATTAATAATAGAATAAGATGGTAGGATTCGAAAATGTGTAAAATTATTAATCTTTTAAGAGAGATTGTTAAAAAGGCAAAAAGAAATTCATTAGTAATACAAACATTGGCGTTGAATAAGATGGCTAGTTTTATTAAAAAGGATTAATGATGGAGTATAAAAATTATTAAGTAAAACAAACTGCTTTTAATTATCAAAGTCTTGAATCTAAGTGAGATTTATAATAATTGCAAGAAAACTGTCTTAAACTTCGAATATTAAGCAAATCAAAAGTGTACAATAGATATGATTTTAACGAAAGAGATAAGCAAATATATAGAATAACAACTGTAAATTATAAGAGATCTAACGAAAGAGATAAGCAAATATATAGAATAACAACCGTAAATTATAAGAGATTTAATTAGCTCAGATGCATCAAAAGAAAGGCAAAAAGATTTTAGTTAAAAATTAAAATAATAAAGAATAATGAAAATCCTTCTTTAAAAAATTACTAAATTGAAGTTTCAAGAAGAAAAATTATCTTAAAAGAGTAAAATAAAAAATACAGGGAAGTATATTATAGCCAAAAATAATGAGGTGGAGTTGACTCTAAAAATATGCAAAACCGTGTAGCTTTTGGTCCAAATGAGACACCTACTGAGATGGATGATATGCTATGCAAAAATATTTCAAGGTTAGAGTGCCAATTTTGGGTGCGCTTTGAAATATTTGGTGCGTTCCAAGTGGTTTGAGGGCAAATAATGAAGGAGAGCCAAAAATAGATCAAGGTGATTGATTCAAATTGATTAGTTTGAAAATATTTAGTGGAAATGTTTAAATGCATATGAGCAGGAGGTAAAGCACCAAAATTTTAAAAAAATATGGGTAAGTTAGATTTGAAGTAGTTGATGGGAATCAATGATATTTAGACTATGGCGGAAGAATAGCAAAAACTATTTTAAGGGTAGCTGTAATTCAAATGACAGGTTTAATAGGATCTTCAGAACACTTTTACAACTATATAGCTTGAGAAAATGCTTAGAAATTATTCTAGAAATGTGGAAAAATATACTACGAAAAATTGACAAAGAGATAAATAAGTAAAACAAAGATACTTAGGCCTTCAACCAAAAAGAACACAAAAGTGACAATCACTAAACACTCAACCCTAAAGATTTTACTCTAATATTTATCAAACATCAAAAAAAATTATTCATTGCAGCAATGTTTGAAATATTATATTACAATCATCAATTCTGAATTAAGAAAAATGAATGAAAATTCAAAACTAGCAAAGCAAATAAGGAAGTAGAGTAGAATCACACCAAAACTCTCCATAACTAACCACTTCCTTTCAGATAATTTTAAAATAGGATAACTGCACTTAACAGTTTCCCACATGAAGGGAAAGATTGAAATATCAAAAACTCAAAATTTTAAATTAAATTTTTTAAATTTTTAAACAATAATCATCATTACAATTTTATCTGTTTGCAAACCATAAAATTTTTAAACATGTGACTATGTTCACTTGGCCTTTTATTTGAAGTTTCGATTTTGATCTTCCCAACAAACCACAAAAGAAATGGAAAATAAAAATTCTAATGCTGGCCAAAAATGAGTGGAAAAAGATTATTGGTGAAATATCAATGCAGCTTGAGTTCTCATCAGGCGATACAAATTTTTATCTGATTTCGAAGAGGGCTTATTTCACCAATTAAGTTGTACGTACTGTCAGCAACTGCATCTTGACCTAGTGTGAGAATACAAATTACAACTACACTTGTTATGTCATACAGGCAAACTAAGATGTACTTCCTACTAAACAATCTAGAAGGCTAAAACAATATAAAAAATTCCCTTTCATGAGCCAAAAATAGAAAAACAAATCAAAATAGATTTAACAAGGCTTTGCTGAAATCCATAATCTAGTCATTTTGTACTACTCTGCTGGAAAAAAGAAAAGTGTAATGAATTACCCACATTCCCTAGTTTAAGGGGCTAATTGGCAGCAAAGGGAGTGCAATGCATTCCTTCTGCATGAGTTTTAAAAGTTTAAGTGTTCAGAAGGAAGAAAACAAATACAATGTAAAATCCCAAAGTATTTTGAATTCATTCTCTAAATATTAATTAATGTATTTAAAATTCGTTGGATTTGAGCGAATTCCAAAAATACTGCTTTGTGTAAAATGAGGCTGCTGCCCGCTACTAATTGCCACAGTTGCCGCCTCCTGCTGCAATTGTCAACTGCCCGTCAAACCGCATAGCCGCTGCTAGTTGCAGCCCACCGCCAACCTACCCCCCGTCACTACCCATCTACTTGCTATCAACTGCCTTTCCCGATGCCGGCCATCCGCCGTCGCCAACCTTTACAAATTTATTTTACATTGAAAAAATAAAGTCCAGCATTCATTTTTCACTGAACCAAATAACTCTAACATATTCCGAATAAAATACATTACTTTAATGCTACATTATTTTTTTCTGCAAACCAATCAGCCCTAAAGAAGCTGTAATCTGCCCAAAGAGCACATGGGACAATTTTTTATTATTATTTTAAAAGCTAGCTATGAATTGGGCGCATACCTTTTATATGATTAATGAAAGTAAAATAACAAATAATAAATATCAACATTTTAAATTTTCCACGCAAATAATAAATTCTAATCAATTCCACCACTTTTAATTACCTCTCTCAGCAAAGGAGCTAAAACTACAACAAATAAAAAAAATTAACAAATGCATGTCAAAATTAAAGGGGAGAAACTTTCCAAGAAAGTAAATAAAATGGTACCAAAGGCCAAGCATCAAGCATTAATCTTGATAATTATAAAGATAAATAAGAATAAATTTGACAGCAAAAATTAAGAAATGATTCTACTGTTTGATTGTAACAAAAAATAAACAGCATAAACAAGTCAAAAACAACTTCGAATAAGCAATTGCTTCGAAAGGAAAAACTAAAGTGTAATGCAAATTTGTCCAGGATACCATGACTTCTGAAATTTCAAGTTTGTAAAATATAGGTAGAAAGAAAATCATAGAGATTACATATAAGAACTAAATATGCTACCGGTTGGCACTTCGAATTAGCCCTAGAACCAAAGACCAAGAAAACAAGATTTGAGATGAGAACACGTTGCTAGAGGCAACATCAAAAGTTATTATATGGTCCCAAAAGCTAGTTTTTCCCTACCATGCTATTTACCTTTTATATAATAATTTTTTTCTAGATAATTTCCTTTCATGGGCTAGGGTTTGGCCAAGTAAAGAGACTTGCATGACAAAAATACATTTAATAAACAGGTATTCTTATGAATAAGCTCTAACGATCTTCTAGGTCGCATTCCAACTAGTTAGAGCTCACAAGTGTAGGTCTATGACCAAATAAATAATAATTTGAAGAGATATGGTGGATAAAAGGTGACAGTACGAGAAACACATGTAATCAATTATAATAAAGGTATGGAAAAGATTGTAGTATTTTATGCATTTAAAAACTATGCTAGAGAAGAAGAGAAATAAGACTCCAATGTACATTAAAATCTGCTCACAGTAACGTCACTCATTGGAAACATAATTTTGATTTAAACAAAAAAAAAACTATGGGCCAAAATAAACAATTATATAGGAAACAACCTGCAAGAGACTGTGTGAACCACCACCGAATGAGCGATTATACTTCTCAATGTTTTCCAAAACTTGGCTAGCTTCTAGCTCATGACGTTGACTCTGCATGGTTGTGGTAGGTATCAACAAAGTTATAAAACGGCGACAAATGGGACATTTACATGGCTGAAGAGCGGATCCGTGATGCCATACACGCATAATGCAACTCCCTGAAATTTCAAGCATAATAAACATAAGAGATGACCATTATGCATATTTTCCTCAGAGCAGGAAAAACAAAATCACAAAATGGTTAATATAGCATTAAAACAATAAAAGGAATAGCATGATCCAGATTCAAATAACTTCTCTTAAAGTACGACCTGAGCATACATTTTTTCAGCCATGTTCATTAAGCTAAATCAGCTGGTGAAGTAAAAACTCCAAGATGAACTTATGCCCGTGGAATAAATAAACAAATAAATTCAAAAGAATAAATAAATCGCAAAAGCTTACATGAGTAAAGTAGGGGTCTAGAAAACCTAAGAACAGATAGCACCGATATACAATCAACAAACCATCTTTAACATCTTTATGATATAATTGCCTTCAATTGAAAACCCGATGATAGTAGCTGAAAATACTCCCAATCACATATGTGGTGGAAATAGACATAGATGACGTTTTGCATTCTCATAGCATTAAAATTTCAATCCCAGAGCTCATGTACTAAACTTAAACCATGAACCTTCATTGCCACAACTACAATTCAATCTTTTCCATCTAATTGCAATTTATACATAAACAGTTGAGATTTATGTCTACTGTGGAAGTTATAAATTTATTGAGAAGTTTGATGAACAAGTACAGAGAGAATAAGGAAGATCCATATATGATTTTTATTGATTAGAAAAAACTTACGATAAGATTCCAAGAGAAGTCCTTTGGAGAGTTTTAGAGAAGAAGGGGTTGATATGACTTATATTCAAGTCATTAAAGATATGCATTCTATAAGCCAATATCTTTTTGCTTTAGTTATGAATGCTCTTACTGAACACATACTGGAGGATGTACATTGGTGTACATTTTTTGCTAATGATATCTTTCTAGTGTATAAGAATAGAGAAAGAGTTCAGTAAAAACTTTAATTATGTAGATCTGCATTGGAGTCCAAAGGCCTTCGTTTAAGTAGAACTAAAACTGAATACATAGAATGTAATTTTAGTAGTAGTAACTCTAGGGACAGACTTATAACTATGGGTGATCAAATTATTAAAAGGTGTGAACATTTTAGATACCTCAGGTCTATTGTGCAAAGTGAAAATGATATGGATGGAGATGTTATTACTAGAATTCAAGTTGGTTGGTTAAAGTGAAGGAATGCATCGAACCTGTTGTGTGTCCGAAAAATATAGCTTAGAGTGAAAGGAAAATTTTATAAAATGGTAGTGAGGCCTGCAATGCTCTATGGCGCAGAGTGTTGGCCTTTTAAAGGGAAACATAAAACAAAGTTAGGTTGCTAAGATGAGAATACTTAGGTGGATGAGTGAGTTAACAGAGACAAAATAAGAAATGAATACATCTGAGATAGGGTTGGTGTAGCTCCAGTGGTGAATAAGATTAAAGAGTCATCTTAAATGGTTTTTCACATTAAACGTCAACCATCTGATGATCTAGTTAGAAGAGTAGATGTTTTAGATTAGAGTTATGTTAGGAAAGGTAGAGTTACACCTAAAATAACTTGGGCATATTGTATAAAACATGTTCTGAATTTAATAGACTTTAATGAATATATGACACTAATAAGGACGCAATGGAGAAAATAGATTATGTGGCCAACCCTACTTAGTGGGATAAAAACTTCTTGTTGCAATAGTTTGTTGTCTGCATGGAAAATGGGCCCACAAATCTAGGTCAAGGCAATGATGACGATGATGAAGAGGTAGCGGATTGCATGGTACCTAGAAGAGAAGCAAAGGGAAGTCCATCCTTTATCTGGTGTCTAATGTTTGAGAATGGCAGGCCTTTTAGGAAAGCGTTAGCAAATATACTCAAGCAAATCTAAGTAATTGTATTTAAATAGAATTCCTAGAAATGCTGGATCTGCCAGGTATCACATCGGTTCGTATGAAGTCATTTCAGCTCGATGATACAGTGATAGATCCCAGGTTTCAACAACCTTAGCAAAGTTTCCAAGCATGAAGTGATGTGATGGATGATTTTTTAGCTGGCGATCCCATGACAAAAACATGCCAAATCTCACATAGATTTCTTTCGAGTGTCATTTTTTATATTGTTTATTGCGGTGTGGTTGAATATATAGCTATTGTATTTATAAAATCAGGTTGCGAACTCTTCCGCCTAATTATCCAGGCTTGCGAAGACCAATTAACTTAGCTTGTTCAAGTTCTAGTCCACAAATTCCACCAATCATTATAAACCCTCAGTAGTCAGTTCGTGTGCTTGCAAATCAGTAATATGATCAGACGGAGCATTGACAACACATTGATTCCCGTTTCAGTCAACAACAAAAACAAATCTGATTTGACATTCCAAGACAGTAAAAACGAACAAAAAAAATAAACCTAAAATCTAGAATCCTCCGTCATGGGTTCAAGCAGAAGGTTTTCCGCGCTGAAAATCAATAAATCCGTGCTAAGAAGAAGAGAGATCCAAAATCCGAAACTGAACAAAAATTCAGGCAGAAGTACCGCAGAACCAATGGGAGCAGTTGGCCTGACATGGCAGCGTGAATCTCTCGTGGCATACCGAGCAAAAGTCGTTCTCCGGAGGTGAATCCATTTTTGTTCGCGCGCAGGTTCTTTTGCTCCCTCTGATGTCTTTAAATGAAGTTTCCTGAGCTATGGTCCCCCACTCCTGTACGTTCCGCGTTCTTTCCGACGGCAATGCCGCTTATTCTCGAGTCACATCCATACCACCTCAAACTACTGTATTTATCCGATATTTAATTTTCTATGGGCTAAACTAGCCCACTCACCAAAATAATATCCCGGCTAGTTATGTTCTTTTCTGGCTGAGAAGGTGTAACATCAAGTTATAAAAATACATTGAGATGTGGGATCTGTTTGGAGCAGGAAGTTTTGAAAAAGCTGTTGCGAAAAGCTGATTGGTTATTTGTTACAGCTGTCTTAAAATAACTGTGAGGCAACTGCTTTTTGGATAAATGACTATTTTTCCCTCATGTTTAGTAAATCTTTTTTTTAACAGAACTGTGACAACGATATATTTACCACTTCAAAAGTGGATAAATGACTATTTTTCCCTCATGTTTAGTAAATTTTTTTTTTAACAGAACTGTGACAACGATATATACGATATATTTACCACTTCAAAAGCTTCAAAAGTAAAAATTCATTTCAAAATAGTATATTAAAAGGTACAGGTGGTATCTATTATACAAAGAAATAAAAGTTAAACAAAAATTGAAAAAAATTACAATAGTGCTGAATAAGTTATAGATAGTAAACTAAGAAATTCTATAATCATTCTCCTATCGCATCAGTAATATGTTCCCTCAATTCTTCCATCTCGCTTGGACCTTCCCATTTTGCAGTACAGGTGGTGGAAGCTTCATTGTCATGTGTCTCATAGACTGCCCAAGCACGTACTCAAAAGCTTTGGTAGGTACTTGTTCATGATCTTTGTTTTTATGACTGAAGTCAATGTTGTTACGAGAATGATGTCATCGAATGCAATTGTGGCAATCACAATATGTACCTGTTTAGAAAAACGAGTATGAAGGCATATCACGAATGACACCATGTAACGATGAATGTCATTTATTGAACATTTTTTTCTACCTCATGTAACGTTGCTTGCACATTCGAAGTTTGGTATGTGATATCTCGTATTAGGAAATGACTTTAGATACTTTCGTTGCAACGGATATCCAACATCAACCAAGTAATTTTTTTCTTGATTTTGACAGCTCTACTTTACACCCTTACTTTCTGGTCATAATTTTCTTAGCCACATTATTTTTTTTTCTTTTAATTTTTATCCCATTGTTTTTGCGTTCTTGAGTCCTTAAAATAACAACTTATTTGAATATTGGTGGTGAATTCTTGAGTTCATCAGGCAGTATTATGTGGTGTTCTATATTTGGCAATCAGCACTAGCTGCTGAATTTGAATATGTAATGTTAAGCAAGCTAGGGACGCAAGCTAGGGACCCTAGGAGATGGACCCTAGGAGATGTGCAATTTTTCTCCTGAACAATAATTTCATTCAACATTTACATAATGGTCTTAAATTTCGCCAATCTTTTTTATGGAATGAACTTTCTCTAGCCACTTTGAGTTGTTTTATCCAAACAAATATTCTTGGAAACGTAGTTGAGGAAAATTAATAATGAATTTTTGGTAAATGCTTATCCATGAAAATTTGTATCATTGTTTTTTGCATTTGATTGCTTTATTTTCTTCATATCTAGTCAAGAAGCTGGGTGAAAATAAATCTTTTAAACTGTCTATTTGTTTTCCTCTTCTTTGGCTATTCAGGGAATATGTGATTTTTTTTAGTTCATTTTTTTGTAAAGGTTCACCTTGTTCATGTTCTGCCCCTGCTAATTTAAAAGAAGATTCTAATATCCTCTGCAGTGTAATTGTGGAAGCTCTCAAGGTTGATAGTCTGCAAAAGCTTTGTTCATCGTTAGAGCTCATGCTTCGCCGAGTTGTAAGTTGAAAAAACTTGCTCTCTGTCCTTCTTTTGTATTATGAGGATTACTGAAAATGGGTAATTATTGCATTTGATAGATATGGTCATATTCTTCCAACTTAGATGCATTTTGAATGATAATGTTAAGACTATTATCTTCCTTTTGTGAGGGCTATATTTTCCGTTGTCTGACACAATATTTTTTTTTAATTCAGCATGTCATTTATATTAAATTAGGAATTAGTTTTCCATATCATCCACTTAATACTAGTCATAATTTTGTATGTTTTTTTTAACTTTCCATTTACTTGACGTTTTGGCAGCATTTAAAATTTTCAGGAAACGCTGAGAGCTGTCACATTCTTACTTTATTTTGTGCTAATGGGCTATGCAAATTTATGTAATGCCTCTCTCAGTTAAATTCTGGATCATGTTGATGTCTTCATGCTGATTATTTTAACACAATAAATTTTAGTTTCTACCTGCCACGTGTCGGGTTTCCAATGAATATTTGCAGGTTGGATTTTTTTTTGAAGCCATTGCCAAACTGATTCCACGAGGCCCAAAAGCTAAATAAATATGAAAAATCAATTCAATATAGTCAATAGCAGCATGTGTAATGAGTGATAAAACTCACTATTAAAAAATAGAATTAGTATCAAAGTAGTATTTGACTTAATTTACGCAGCACGACATATATGATTATGGGCAATTCACGCACTGGAAATATTGCATTGTTTAGTTTGTTTGAATTTTTCACCCAGACCACTAAACCCATGATCAGTAGTTTTAAGCTCTTCCACTTTTGTTTACGTAGTTAACTTTGGGGTTAACTGTTTTTCAGAAGGTACATGTTAAAATATAGGTTGTTAACGGCTGTTGATTGAAGTCAGTTTATTCTTAATAGTCTGCATATCTATTTATTCTTTCTATCAATTGATGATAGTTATGTTTTGGACATGATATCTGTGTTATATAGGTCAGTGAAGAAGTGGAGCGTGCTTTAGCAAAGCTTGGCCCTGCTAGACTTGGGGCAAGGTACATCATTAGAATGTTAATTATGGTTAGATTGTTAAATCTGTAATATTTTTAGTTTATTTTTGTATTTTTCATGACATTGATTTATTGTTGTATCTCACAAAAAAATTCATCAATACCTTTTTAACATGTATTATTTTTTGCATTTTGTAAGTTTGCATTCATAAATATTATCAGTGTTTTTGTCCGTGTTGTCAATGTGGAGTAATCCGCTTGTTTGGTAATTCATCAATACCTTTTTAACATGTATTATTTTTTACATTTTGTAAGTTTGCATTCATAAATATTATGAGTGTTTTTGTCCGTGTTGTCAATGTGGAGGAATCCGCTTGTTTGGCCGTGGCAAATTATAAAATAACTGTCAAACCTTCTGAGATTATGATGGGTTTCTGAGTTTGTTATTGAGGGCTCTTGTATATTCTTACGATTCTTATTTGCATTAGTTTTTTTACCCTTAAAGTGAAGAACCATTTATGCGTCACAATATGAGAAGTAGAAACATCCTCGAATTACCAAATAAATTGTGAAAGTTTTCAAATCATCATTCACTAGTGGAAAAAATGTGCAGATCTCAAAATATATAGGCCAAGTTGGAGTTCGATTGTTGCATTTGCATTTTGTAGTGTTAGTGCAGGATCTTTTAGGGTCCACATTCTTAATGCACCTAGAATAATGTGTTGTATATAATTCATGCAAAATATATTATGATTCACGAATCACTGAATGCCGAATGAGCAAAAAATTTACTTTCTTCTAGAGCAAAGTATAAATACGAGAATTAGAACATGAACTATAATGTATCGATCAAATAAAACTGGGCAAATTAACAAAAAAATGAAACATGCAAAATCAATAATCAATTCTGATTTAATCACAATTAGTTTTTTCAGTTGTATCACAATTGAACAAAATCAATAGCAACGTCAAATAACATTGTCACAAAACTGAAAATATTCTTGTTCTTATGCTGTTAGAAGGATGAGACTTGAAATTAAGCATCATATTTGTAATGCACAAAGGGATCGCATGCCAAACTTGCACATACAGGATTGAAAATTAGAAGAATTTATTCAATCAAAATATTGTATTTTGTATCTTAGAATAACTATTTTTAGACTCCACGTACATAGATTAATGGATCTTGTTGTCATTGGATCAGCTAAATCTGATTCCAGATAACATTCTCGTTTATACGTCATCCTTGTCCTAAATTGGAAAATTTAAATTTGCTACTCCAATTCATATTTTAATGAATAGGAGTCACGTGAGCATGGTGTGAAGTATAATTTCACATTGGTAGCGGCAACCGGCTAAGAGAACAAAGTTCATCATTTCACATTGGAGCTATCTTAGTTGAAATCCAGCACCCGCAGTGCTTTTATCCTGCATCAGTTTTTTGTGCATAAATTGCTTAATTAAGTTTAAGCTTTAGTTATGCTTGTTGACACAGTTTTTTTCCCGTTTGTCATCGCTTCTTTTCCTCACATCATATGATGATCTCATGCAGCGTATTAAGCCTTGTGCAAGCTGATTATGCTTGTTCCTCAGCTTTTGGGCTGCTTATCATTTTCAGCTAAGCTTAATGCCATATATTCTAGTACTGATAAGTTGTTTATTAAAGTTTTTCAGCATTATCTATAATGGTTTGAGTGTTGGGGAATTAAATGAAAAGTTGGAATAACTTGTACGGTGAAATTAGGAAAGATAAATTAAGGAATAATTATTGTTAGAGATATAACTAGAGTGATATTGATTGATGATGAGTTAATTGAAAATGGATTTAGTTAATTTGGACATATACGCTTAAGGATAATTAATGTGTCCCTCCATTAGATGGGTAAATAATGAAAGACCTAGGGAAGACCCAGCTCCAATGCCTTCCTAAGAGGGGCGGGCTAGCAGTGCGCCCTCATCAGGCCGATCCCTAGCAACTTCAGCGGTTGCAAGAGCAAATGGCCGAATTGCTAAGATGCAAGAAAGCATCCACAGGATTCAATTCTTTCTGCTTGAACTTCCTTCAGGGGGATGGCCTCTGCCCATTTGGAGAAAGAGTCTATCGCTGCCAAGATGAACGTAGCCGTGTATAAGAACTGGAAAGGCAAAGAGAGAAACCTAAGTTTATGATGAGAAAGTTGTGTGAAATATCTTACAAAAAATAAATTTAACGCGTCAGTCACAATTTAGCAGGATTG